TAAAGGTTTGGATATTCATGGGTTTCCCAAAATTGAGCATGTAGTGTGTTTCCAACCACCTGATATATTTCCAATTACTTCCTCTGGTGACGTGCTGAAATGCACCTAAATCTGAATGAGAATCTTCATTCTCATGGGTGGAACAAGTTTTGATCCTTTACTCTTGTATTTCATACGTTTATCTTTCAAAGTTTAAAGAATTATGAATAAAGGTTAAACTTTGGAAGTACTAGCATAAAGTCCAGAATCTAAACAGCTTTATACTAGGCATTCTGCAGAGCCCTGGTTGATTTTAGTGGCCATTACAGAGACGTGGTTACAGAATGGTCATGACTGGGAGTTAAATATCCAGGGGTATCAAACTGTTTGGAAGGACAGACACGAAGGTAAGGGAGATGGTGTTGCTCTGATTTTTAAGGATGATATCAGGGAGGTAGTGAGAGATGATACAGGTTCGACTCAACAAAACGTTGAATCCATTTGGGTGGAAATTAGAAATAACAGGGAGAAGAAGTCACTGATAGGTGTGGTCTATAGGCCACCAAATAATGACATCGTGGTGGGGCAAGCAATAAACATGGAAGTAGCTAATGCATGTAAAAATGGTACAGCAATTATCATGGGGGATTTTAATCTACATATCGATTTTTCAAACCAGGTCGGTCATGGCAGCCTTGAGAAGGGGTTCATAGAATGCATCCGCGCTAATTTCCTTGAACAATATGTAATGGAACCTATGAGGGAGCAAGCTATCCTAGATCTAGTCCTGTGTAATGAGACAGGAATAATTAATGATCTCACATTTAGGGATCCTCTCGGAAGGAGCGATCACAGTATGGTCGAGTTTAAAATACAGATAGAGCGTGAGAAGGTTAAATCCAGTGCCTATGTCCTGTGCTTAAACAAAGGAGACTATGAAGGAATGAGGGGGGAGTTAGCTAAGGTAGAATGGGAGCAAAAACTTTATGATGGGTCAATTGAGGAACAGTGGAGGACTTTCAAACGATTTTTCACAGTGTTCAGCGACGTGAATTCCAGTGATAAGGAAGAACTGTAGGAAAAGAGAGAGCCAGCCATGGATGTCTAAGGAAATAAAGGAAAGTACCAGATTGAAAAAAAAACATACAAAAAAAACAAAGATTAGTGGAAAACTAGTAGACTGGGAAATCTTTAAAGGCCAACAGAAAGCCACAAACAAAGTTATAAAGAAAAGTAAGATAGATTATGAGAGTAAACTAGCTCAGAATATAAAAACAGGCAGCAAAAGTTTCTATAAATATGTAAATCGTAAAAGAGTGGCGAAGGTAAACATTGGTCCTTTAGAGGATGAGAAGGCCAATTTAATAACTGGGAATGAGGAAATAGCTGAGACATTAAACAGTTATTTCGTGTCGGTTTTCACAGTGGAAGACACAAATAACATGCCGAAAACTCATGGCAAGAAGGTTATAGCAGGTGAGGACCTAGAAACTATCATTATCACTAAGGAGGCAGTGCTAGGCAAGCTAATGGGGCTAAAGATAGACAAGTCTCCTGGCCCTGATGAAATGCATCCCAGGGTACTAAAAGAGGTGATGGGGGAAATAGCAAATGCACTAGTAACTATTTACCAAAATTCACTGGACTCTGGGGTGGTTCCCTGGAAAACAGCCAATGTGACGCCACTGTTTAAAAAAGGAAGTAGACAAAAAGCAGGTAACTATAGGCCAGTTAGCTTAACTTCGGTAGTGGGGAAAATGCTTGAATCTATCATTAAGGAAGAAATAGCAAGACATCTGGATATAAATTGTCCCACTGGAAACACGCAGCATGGGTTCATGAAGGGTAGGTCATGTTTAACTAATTTGGTGGAACTCTTTGAGGACGTTACTTGCGTGGTGGACAATGGGGAACCTGTGGATGTGGTGTATCTGGATTTCCAGAAGGCATTTGACAAGGTGCCACACCAAAGGCTGCTACATAAGATAAAGTTCCACGGTATCACAGGTAATGTATTGGCATGGATGGAGGATTGGTTGACCAGTGGAAAGCAAAGAGTAGGGGTAAATGGGTGTTTTTCGGGTTGGCGGTCAGTGGCTAGTGGTGTGCCTCAGGGATCAGTGTTGGGACCGCAATTGTTTCAATTTACATAGATGATTTGGAGTTGGGGACTAAGTGTGGTGTGTCAAAATTTGCAGATGACACTAAGGTGAGTGGTAGAGCAAAGTGTGCAGAAGACACTGAAAGTCTGCAGAGGGATAAAGATAGTCTAAGTGAGTGGGCAAAGGTCTGGCAGATGGAGTACAATGTTGATAAGTGTGAGGTCATCCATTTTGGTAGGAATAACAGCAAAATGGACTATGTTTTAAAGGTAAAAAATTGCAGAAAGCTGCTGTGCAGAGGGACTTGGGAGTCCTTGTGCATGAATCGCTTAAAGTAGGATTGCAGGTGCAGCAGGTGATTAAAAAGGCAAATGGAATTTTGTCTGCCATTGCTCGAGGGATGGAGTTTAAAAACAGGGAGGCTATGCTACAGCTGTATAGGGTCCTGGTGAGGCCACATCTGGAGTACTGTGTGCAGTTTTGGTCTCCTTACTTGAGAAGAGATATACTAGCACTGGAGGGGGTGCAGAGGAGATTCACTCGGTTGATTCCAGAGTTGAGAGGGTTGGATTATGAGGAGAGACTGAGTAGACTGGGATTATACTCATTGGAATTCAGAAGAATGAGGGGAGATCTTATAGAAACATATAAGATTATGAAGGGTAGATAAGGTGGAGGCAGGGAGGTTGTTTACGCTAGCAGGTGAAACTAGGACTAGAGGGCATCGCCTCAAAATGAAGGGAAGCGGATGTAGGACTGAGGTCAGGAGGAACTTCTTCACCCAAAGGGTTGTGAATCTGTGGAATTCCCTGCCCAGTGAAGCGGTTGAAGCTACCTGGCTGAATGTTGTTAAGGCAAGGCTAGATAAATTTTTGAACAGTAAAGGAATTAAGGGTTATGGTGAGTGGGCGGGTAAGTGGAGCTGAGTCTCAAAAAGATCAGCCATGATCTTATTAAATGGCGGGGCAGGCTCGAGGGGCCAGATGGCCTACTCCTGCTCCTAGTTCTTATGTTCTTTTGTTCTTATTTTTGGCGTTTTCACTGCCCATTGTAACGTTGCAAGATTGCTCAAGAAGAGGTTTCCAATGTTAATCAGTGCGAACATGTTGCAGTGTTAGACCCTGATAAAGTAGAAATGAATGGATCATTTTAGGGTTGGCAGGATGTAACTAATGGAGTATTGCAAGGATTTGTGCTGATTTCTCAGCTATTTAGAATCCAAACTGATGACTTTGAGGGACAGAATGTGATAACGTATCCAAGTTTTCAGACAATGTAGAATTTGATGGGAGCGTAAACTGTGAGGTGGACATAGAGTGATGTGGATAGGAAGTGATTGGGCAAGAAGTGGAAGCTGAAATATTATCTGAGTAGAAGGGGTGGTTGGGGAGCATGATCTCATTGAATGGCAGAGCAGGCTGGAGAGACTAAATGGACCATTCATGCTCCTATTTCTTTTGTTCTGACTCACTTTGGTGGGATACCTGGAAAAAACAGAATATGTTCCAAATCATCCAAAGCTAGAACATTGGGATGTTGTACACTAACCATGGAAAGGTGATTAACTTTCGCAGACAATGTGCAGGTACAGCAAGCAATTTCGTAGATCATAGAATCCCTACAGTGTGGAAACAGGCCCTTTGGTCCAACAAGCTCACACCAACTCTCAGAGAATCCCACCCAGACCCATCCGCCAGAACCCACTTAATCTACACATCCCTGAACATTACAGGCAATTTAGCATGGTCAATCCACCTAACCTGCACATCTTTGGACTGTGGGAGGAAACTGGAGCACCCGGAGGAAGCCCACACAGTCACGGGGAGAACTTGTAAACTCCACACAGATAGTCACCCGAGGGTGGAATCGAACCCGGGTTCCTGGCGATGTGAGGCAGCAGTGCTAACCACTGAGCCACTGTGCCGTCCCTAATTGGGAAGGCGAAATAGCATAGTAATGCCTAGTGTGAAGACTTGAAGAATAAACCTCAGTCTTGCTACAAATAACAGAACTTTGAGATCACACCAATTGTACTTTCAATGGCTTTGATCTTCTTAATTGGGCTAAGAATATATTTTCTGTAGTCAGGGTGCAGTACAGGTTCTCTAGATTAATTCCAATGGGCGGGTTGTCTTATGATGAGGGAATGAGCCTGTATTCTCAATTGTTAGGAGGACAGTTGATTATTCTGAAATATGTCAAGTCGTTGAGGGCTGAGTTTGGTAGATGCTGAGAAGTTATTTCCTTTGGACTCTCGAACCAGAGGCTTATTGTCTCAGGATATGGGTTCGACCATTTAGGACTGAGATGAGGAGATATTTGTTCACTCAAGGCTGTGAATCTTTGGAAGTTTAACCCAGAGAGCTGGGGATGGCCTGTTGATGAGTTTACTCAAATAGAAATTGACAAACCCTTTGAGGCACAAGACTTAGAGAGAGAAAAGTAGAACTGAGGTAGAAATTTAACCATGATCTTGTTGTGTAGTTAAGCAGGCTAAAGGAGCCAAATGGCCTACCTCTGCTCCTTTTTCTCGTGCTCTTACAGGAAGGTTTTTAGTTAACTTTGTAGAAGAGTTGCTATAAATTTTGGTTTCATTTGTAAATTAATTCAGTTCTCTTTGACTAAACTGAAGATTCAAAAATTATTGAAGTGTGATTTCCTGCTGGAGCTGCCGGGATGGATAGACTCAGGCAGGAACTCCTCATGGGACCAAGTCTGCTTCCCATTCCATATGTCGATAGTTTTTTTTGTGACAAGATTCTCAAATGATCTCACTTTGCATCCTTTTAGAATCAAAAGATCTGTGAGCACAATGAGGTAACAGAACTCAAACACACATCAGACAATGTTCATACAATGATGAGTGACTGGAAATTATTATAATTCACCTGACACCTGCCTTTACTTTCCCTCCTTTAGGCCATTCGCTGTACACTGGTAAACTGTACGTGTGAATGCTTCCAACCAGGAAAGATCAGCCTACGAACCTGTGACCAGTGTAAACATGGCTGGGTGGCACATGGTGAGTGAGATCAAACATTTCCACCAAATTATGTTTGTGAGAGATGGCATGATTATATTGAATTACATAAAACTGTACGCACAGAGGCTGACTTTTTTGTCAAACGGGTCAGTGTTGGTATTGCCGAACAAACAACTTGTCTTTAGCTAACACTTTTAACATGATGACTTATCACAAATAACAGTCATAGGTGCCTCATGGGAACACAGTTCAACAGAATTTGATGCTGGCCCTAGCCAGGAGGTTAAAGAGAGAGACATTCAAGCACATCTTAAAGGAGGTGAAATGGGTAGAGAGGTCGAGGGGATTTAGGAAGAGAAATTTAAAACTTCAAGTCCAAGCAGCTATAGGCATGGCCTCAAATGGGAGAATGATAAAAAATTTGGTATTCCCAGGAGGTGAGAATTTAAAAAGTGTAGAGATCTCAGAAGGTTCTGGGGACGGAGGAAATTGCAGAGATGGGGAGGGATGAGGCTATGGAGGGATTTGAAACTCCTTCTCGATTTGAACCTCCTACGCCACTTCATCTCACTCTAACAACATTCTTATATCCCTGACTTAACTAGATACTCCTTAACTGCATCTGTTATTCATTTCCACCAACTCATGTTTGGTATCGCTTTGCACAATGTAATCACTCTGGGTAGAGTTTTTTCCTGAATTCCCTATTGGATTTCAGAATTACTATCTATTTGTGACCACTGGTGTCAGACTCTCAACACAATTCAACACATCTTCTTTATATCTAGCCATTCAAAACCCTTCATAATTAGAAAACTGAATCAGGTCATCTTGTAGCCTTCTCTTTTCTAGAAAAACGGTTTATTTTATAATCCAGCTCTTCAAAATACAATGTTGACATAAGTATTTAATTTGGATTGTATGTATATTTGGAGCCAACTCTCAGTAAAAGTACATATGGTCCAAATGATTGCTTAATTTTGAGAAGGTAGATATATTCCTGGTTCAGTAAACAGTTGCAGATTATTGGGATGGGATAGATTGATCTGATGACTGACGCTATTGGATGGAAATGTTCCAGTCTCTGGGGAAAATTAGGAATGTTATTTGGAGCACAATCAGGTCAAAGTTCAATAGTTCAGATGCAAAGATGCATGAATATCCTGGAGTTTTGTTCATCTTTGTGAATTGGAGAATATTTATGCCAAAATTGTGTTAAATGGGTGGTTAGGATATAAAGTAGAGCAGATATAATAGACTTACTGTATTCTTCTTGATCTTTGCCTTGTCACATTCTTGATAATAAGTCTTGAAGACCAATTTTAATTCATTATGATTCTTGCTTGCGGATCTAGGCTGTTAGTTCATCTAGCTAATAATTATCAAATATTCAGACCTACGTCTCCATATCGCAGGTGAAACAAATTAATGTTAAATCATAAAAAGGCTTTCCTTTTTACGACATTGCTGTTTAGTCATCTTCTTCAATTAAAGGTATTTTGGTAATCAGAGGACATAGATTTAAGGCAATAAGCCAGATGTACAATGCTACCTTTGCAGTATGTGCTGTTCATAAACAGTAGACAAATCCAACCCAATCAATTACTACCCCCATCTGACTTCTCTCAATCAGTAGCAAAGTCATAGAAGGTATTGTTGACAGTGTTGTCATGTGGCTTGCCAATGATCAGTTCTAATTTCCCCAGGTCTGCTCTGTTTCAGACCACTTTATTGTCTTGGCCCAAACAAAGGTATGGTTAGAGTGACTCCCAGATATCAAGGCAGTATTTGACCAAGTGTGGCATCAAGCAACCCTAACAAAATTGAGGTCAATGGCTACTGAAAACAAACTCATTACTGATTAGAGGACACCAATTATCTCAGTTGTATGAAAACTACTTTGATAAAAGAAATTTAAAACCTGACTTTTCTGCTTCATGAGCGTGGGTTGCCAGTCAAAATGAAGATATTCTGCTGATTTCATGGAAATCTCTTAATACCAGTTAGAGTTCTTTTAAGGTCTAGTGACATAAGCATGTGTCACAGAGAAAGCAAACTAGGTAGGGCTTAAGACTGGGTTGCTGACTTATGCAAGGCTAATTTCATCCAATTAAGTCACTTGTTGCTGTCCTGAAATTGCGGACCTGATTTTCAATGCTTCTCATAGAAAGAAGCAAACACTTTTTGTTTGGATAGGCCAAGACCTTTTTCACGAGAGTTAAGGAGGTTTCGCGGTGACCTTTATTGAGACTTATAAAATCATGAAAGCCATAGATATATTGATTAGCAAAGATCTTTTCCTTAGAGTAGGGGAGTTCAAAACTAAACAGCATAATTTTAAGGTGAGAGGAGAAAGATTTAAAAGGACCCTGCGGGGCAACTTTTTCACACACAGTCATTCATATGTGGAATAAACTGCCAGAGGAAGTGGTAGATGCAGGCACAGTTAGAACATTGTAAAAGACATTTGGACAGGTACATGAATAGGAAAGGTTTTGAGGGATTATTGGCCAAATGCAGGAAAATGGGACCAGTGTAGTTTGGGAAACCTGGTCGGCATGGATGAGTTGGACCGAAGGGCCTGTTTCCGTGCTGTATGACTGTTAAAGTTGCAAATGCAAACAAGTGACAGCTTGAACCCAGCTCACTTGAAAACCTGCCTAAGCTGGCACCTTCCTGCCTGAGGGGCATCAGTAGATTATGGATTGATTATGTCATTATATTCCCTGATACAATGTGTTGCATCGTCAATGTGCAAACCCATCATTAATATGCACCTTGTCCTACTTAGCATTGTACACATGCAATGGCGAAACATCCAGTGCTGACCTGCCCTCTGATGTTAAAGATTTCCTTCAGGAATCAGAAAGCAGATTTCAGTATTTTAAAGTGCAGGAAGAAAAATTGAGCATTTGGCCCATGCTTCATATGAGTCTGTTCCCACCTGTCTTCATCTCATGTATTAATATATCCTTCCATTCCTTTCTCCAACATATTTCTGTAGCTTCCCTAAAATGTTTCTGTGTTATTCACCTCACAACACCCTAGTAGCAAGTTACACTTTCTCAGTAAAGGAGTTTCTCCATAATTTTCTGTAAGATTAGTGATTATTGTCTATTTATTGCTCCCAGTCTTGGTTTCCTCTGCAAGTGAGAATATTTTCTTATATCTATCAAACCTTTTCATAATTTTAAAGGTATCTATCCATTCACTCTACAGTCTTTTTAAGAGAAAGAAATCCAGCCTATGCAATTCTCAGTGCTAGTATCATCCTTATGAATTATATCTGCATCTTCTCCAATGCCTTTCTGTAGGAAGGAGGCCAGAACAGTGGTCTGGTCAAATCTAATTGCAGCTATGGAGCTACCTGCCCTTGGGGAACTGCTATTGTGTGAATTTGAAAACAATGCACCTTCTGTTTCTTATAAAACCTCTCCAGAAAATGTAAGATGATCTCTGTCAGTAGATCATCAAGAGGAACTTTACCAAATAAGCTTTGTTTGTCCATTACAATATGACTTGGAAACTCAGACTTTTGTTGCTTCATATTTTGGCACTTTAGAATGTTTACGTTGCTTTTTACGCAATGCATTCCACTTCTTGCAATGAATGTCCTTGACACATTTCTAGGGGACATTAGGTGAGTATATGAAGAAGTTCATGCAGTTCGATGAAAGGTGATAGGATAAGCATAAATGCTAACAAAGATTGAATAGCCTGAATGGTCTGTATCCACTCTGCAGACTTGTTTGTCATTCTACATATGCAATCTCGGTGAGACCTTTTCCTTAGATGACGGGAGGAAGACAACATGCAGATGAACCAGAGCCACACCCTTGTGCTTTCTAGAAGCGTCTTTAGAAGATAGTTTTGGTCTGGGAGAAAGTTACCCAGTTGTCACCTCATAATCAGGAATACTGAATGGTGATTCGAGAGGCAACTGGTATTACTTTAAAAACGAGTAAGGTTCAATATCTACCATTAATAATATATATGCTGTTTTTTTTTTCAGGGCCCTTTACAAACAAAATTTCTTTCAAAAGTAAGCAAAGTATTTTAAAATCAAAGACTTTGCTTATAGACACCGAGTACAAATAAGGAATGACTTCCACTAGACCTTGCATGTCTTAATACCTTGCAAGTACACAGAGAGAGACTGAAGGAACGAGGAAAGAAGCTGCATACTGCAAGAGAAACTGGGAATACAGAGAGAGTACCAGACAAGTTGGAGTACAGGTTGAAAGAAATTGGGTGTACAGAGCACGAATGAGAGAAAAACTGGGAGTCAAAAGAGAAACCTGGAGTAGAGAGAGAAGAAAGAAAACAAGAAAGAAACTGAGACTTCAGAGAGAGGGAAAGAGAAAATAAGAAGAGACTGAGGGAGTGATGGAGAATGTGAGGTAGTGGAGGAGAGAGTACAAAGTTGGGAAGAGAAAAATAAATTAAGGGAGAGTGAGAGAGGGAGCACGTACTGACTGCAGAAATATTTTCATGCAATTGTTTGGCAAACCCTCTGACAAATAATACTTCATTTTTATTACTCTCACATCTCAGGCAACCCGTCATAGAAAGCCTGTCCTAGGATCGGAGGAGGCAAAAACAGGTGTCATATCTGCAGTCAAACTCTAAAAGATTTGCAAGGGAGATCAGCTGACAATTACGCTAATGCTGCAGCTTTTATGTTATTATCTTGAGGTGCTGACTGTTGCATGACTGCCTCAAAGAGCGCAAGACTGGACACAGTGGAAACTTGATAGTTATGAAATAAAAAGGGCACTGTGTGGATCTGGATTTGGTTCAAAGTTTGGAGCAAAATTTGCAATTGGGAGTTTCTAATAGTGTTTGCCTGGAGCTATAATTTTTTTTTATCTGAAGTCTTGTTGGAATAAGATAATAGGAAATCACAATAATAGTTTCCTTTTTGTGAAATTTTAATTTCTTTGCTGTACATGGCTAGATGATGTGTACTAGACTGTAAGTTCTTTCTATTTGTGTGATATAATAATTTTATCTTCACATTGACAGTTTGATCATTTTGA